TTTTTTTTTTTTTTTCCAGTGGCCCTAATCCTCTTCCGTAAAATTCCCATTATGAGTTCGTATGAAATCGTACGGAAAGTTACAGTATGCACCCTAATTTCGTACGTTTTTGACGTTTTTTTCGTCGTATTTCGTCGTATTTTTACGTCTTGCCTCGACGCATAACATATAATTTAACATACAATTAACCCCAACCCTAAGATACAAAACAGCAAGCAACGTAGTTAGAGACATGAAGAAGTGACTATTGCACTGTTTTTCCGATTTTTACATCCGTCTGCGGATCTGCTTTTTTCGTCTGTCTGGCTGCGCATGCGCACTGATCTGTCTTTTCGAGGAAAAACGTCAAAAACGTACGAAATACTGTGCATAACTTTTGTAAGATTTCATACGAACTGATAATGAGAATACGTTGCTCTGTAGAGTGTGTAGCACTCAGAGTGAGAGGACCGTTTTTCAATTTCACCATCAAATTGAGGACCAGTTGTTGCAAAGTCAGGATATTTTGCTAATTATAAGGTTTAAGGTGCCAATTGGGTTAAGGTTAGGGTGAGGTATGTATTGGTAATGGTTAGGTTTAGCATTTTCTGGATTTTTGCCTAAGTTACCTGTTCGTCCATAATTAAATCGGCAAAACTCATCTCTGCCTACTCTTTTTTGCATTTGGGTCCTCATAGCCTCCACCCAACCTGACAATTTTTCTTCATATTCCTCCTCAGGCTGGTCGATTAGTCAATAAAATCTATAATCACCATTTTTGTTTGTGACATTTTCCTGTTTTTAAAACCTTTTTTTTTTAACCAATGCTCTCCTTGTCCTTCCATGCTGAGAAAATACATTAGTTCATCTTTTTTTTTCTTTTTAAGCATCTGCTTGTAACTGATAAATTAAAGCAACTCAATTATTTTATTGTTTCCTGTGAAACCAGATTATTTTACAAGCATGTTTCACAGCTTGAATTTTGTTGCCCTTTAAATAAGGTCACCTCCCAGAGGGGATGATTAATCTCAAAGGTAGTTTTTGAAAGCAATATATGTCATTTATTGTTTTTATTATAAAAATCAAGTGATTAAAAGAATTAATTAACCGTATGATGTAGAAAAGCATAGATACACTTTGAAATCTTTGTTTTGCAATTGCTTGTTGATCCACATCATTAACATGCATATTGCTGTTTGAGAGCAAGTTAATCAAGTCTTCTCTTCATTTTAACTACAGTATTTATTGGTGTAGAAAACTGGTTCATAACCCCCAAGTAGTCTTAGGCCCCATTCTTTACGCCACGATGTTCATGTGATTCATCACAGCGATACCAAACACTAAATACATTTTAAAAGAAGAAAAAAAAAAGTTAAAAAGCAATCCACCTGACTTTGTTTCTAAGTTTGAAGATGTTTTGCATCCCATCCAGTAGGCTTTTTCAGAATTGAGTTTTTTTTTGGCTTATTTTGTTATTCCCCATTCCAAAGGGGTGAACCCGTTCGTCCGTTTTAATTTGCATGTTTTCTAAAAGCTTTGTTGGGTTGCTGTATAAGAGCCTCAAACTCAACATTATTTCTGACATTTTGAAGTGAAAAAGCTTCTTGGATGGGAAGCAAAACATCTTCAAACTTGGAAACAAAGCCTAGTGGATTTTTGTTTTTACTTTTTTGAAATCATATTTCTTTTATTTGTGAAATGCTTTTGCATACATTCCATACTAACTCTCTGTTTTACCTCCATAGGGGCTCAAACCAATGGACCACAATGGGCTCTCAGATCCTTATGTCAAACTGCACCTACTGCCTGGAGCCAGCAAGGTCAGTACCATGAAATAGATTCAAGAAAATCAACATAATGTGCAAGGTAGCACAGCATAACAAGACAACTATGGAAGCCAGTTGTAGGTCATTGTTGTGGAATGGTGAGACGATGCTAGGTGCTTCATTAGATAGGAGTTGCTTCTAGCTGACATGGACAAAACCTTGGTCCTGGACATTAGGACACCAAATAGTGTCTATTTTTCCCGTTTAGAAACACTGTTATAGCCTTAGGTCTCTCATATCGGTCTCAGTCTATGAGTGCAAAATTACAGCTCCTCATCGATTAGCATCATGTACACCTCTGTCTCATCTAGGGGTGTAAATCACACCCATCATGGCGATTCGATTCAGTATCGATTTCCTGACCCAACGATTTGATTATTTTTGATACTCAAGAATACACCACAATACGATTCGATTCGATTAATTGATTAATTCATTTTTTTTTTTTTAGACCTTACAGGCTAAACAAAGTTTCAA